ATGTTAGCAGATAAAATGAGAAAAATTTTAAGGTTGCACGAAACGATTCAGATGGCCTATTAATATATTCAATGACCTAATCGGATACAATAGACAAACTAAGTTATAAATATTTTTGTGTTTACAGAACTTCTCATGCATTTGCCTAAGATAATAGTGCAGTTCACTTATGCTTAAACCTCTCTCTTGTGTTATACTTGATTCGGATATACTGATATTTTTTTTTCATTGTACATTCTGCTAAAAAATTAATATTGATTGATGTTGTATTGTAGTTACAATTGTAGGTGGTTTAAAATATGTATTAGGTATAAACCTTTATTCATGCGGTTTTTTTTCTCAAAATTTTAACGTTTATTTAAGAAAAACACGAGCAAGACAATTATTCAAAGTATTGTCCATCCAAGTTTTGATACCTTGTTCTAATGTGAACCATATTCCAGGCGTTCTGTATAGACGGGAACAAATGGTAATCAGAATAGGCAAGGTCTGGGCTATAAGGCGGGCGAGGCAAAACTTCTCAGCCGCTATTTTTTGCGTTTAGGATTGTCGTAACGGTTCAATCAGCGTGTCTAACATACAAACTCGTCCTTCAACGTCTCTTAGCTTTAATCCATATGTCAGCCAAGACTCTTTAAGATTCTGAGAACTCTTCTTGTGTTTGTCAACAATCTTCAGCGAAAGATGCATCCAGTTCCTCATCTTCAAACTTTTTTGACCGCCAGGACGTTCGTCGTCTTCCAAGCTAAAATCACCACTTTTAAATCGTTCAAATCACTTTTAGCACATTCATTAGCTATAGTATGTTCACCGTAAGCTTCCACCAAAATATGATGACTTTCGGTTGAAGTTTTCTTCATATTAAAGTGATGAAGCAGAACTCAACGCTAAAACACTTTTTCAGACACAAATTTCGATACATTTAATTGTAAAAAAAATTATTGTAGTTTACCATTAAAATAAACAACATTTACTGATAAAAACGCACAAGGACAGTAGCTTTTCAATGCCTGTTCGGAATATTAGAACAATGCCTAATCAATTTACCCCAACAGCACGAATATTTTTATAGAAACACGTTTAAGGGGTAATTATAGACTAGAGGCCCGAATTCAGAGGGTACTTAAGCAATTGATATTTTTACTAACTTTTTTGAAATTAAAAAAAAAAAATTATAAATTTATGTGTCCTTGAAATTCTCTCGATTTATTTTTAAATATTACAAATTTATATTTTCATAAGATAGCGAGATTTTAAATAAATACTCATGTCAAGATTCAAATAAAACGACTAATTAGAACTCGGGCTATCGTGACGACAACATCGAAAAAGTATTTTCGCGAAAAACGTATATAAAACTTTTTCGTCAGCTTAAACCGTTTTATTCGCCACGACACTAAAATAGCTTCAACTTTAAAAATAATTTGAGTTTATAGCAAATTTTTTTAACATTTGAACTATCGAAATATGAAGAAAAATGTAAAATTTTCGATTGTTTTTAATATCTAGACTAGAATAGAACTTTATGGAAAATGTGTTCAGAATTTCTAATAATTTAAAAAAGTACAAAAATATTTTTGTAAATATTTTGTTAAACTTTAAGCAATTTACTCAATCCCCAAAAATATATGATGATATTCTCACTGTTACAAGACCGTCGCATATAAAAACCGGTGTTGTATTCTCACATAATACATACACATTCCGAATTAGTCAAAAGCACGCTTACACCTATATAACGAAATAAATTGAGTGCCTTGACGCAATGACTCACACATTCCTTCGAGTTTTTGCACCCAACGTAAGGCAAAAAGCTGGTCGAGCCAGTTCCAGTGCGCAAATGCAGCACGCACGTGTGAATCATCGCGAAACAAGCTCTAGAAATACAATTTTTCTAGTTTTGGAATTAGAGCTGATTATCAAAACAGAACAGAACTACTTTTTTTTGCGAAAGTTTGTTTTGGTTGCTTGTACTAGTGCTTTGAGTCTCCAAAATATGCACCCTTCCCCCAACCAAATGACCGCCGTTTCAATGTTAACAAATTTTACAAAGAACAACAACATACAATTAACGCCATTAGCTGTATTTACTGACGTTTAAGCGAGTGTAAACACACCCATTTCCAAAAAACAAAAATCAACCAATAAAAATGTGCATGAAATTATATTCCTAAATATAAGCTTACATATGTTTATATGTACATATATCCAACACGGCTTAACATTGTTGTTATTGCCTATAGGTACACATGTACGCTTGATTTGTGCGCATTATTGCATGGCATATTGCCGCTTACCAATCGGTTAATAGCAAATTTACCGCTATTGGCATTTGATAGCGCTACTAAATATCGCATTTCTCACGTCAATTTCCAATTCACATTGTTGTTGCACTCACAGGGAAATTGGCTGATTTATAAACAGTAGCTGTTACCTTTACCCATATTCATTAGTATATACTATATTTATTTGTTTAGGGGCTGAGTGCAAAAATATCCGCTAATTAGTGCATTGCTTGCGTGTTGGTGTGTTTACACTTTTCGCTAAACACTTTGGTAATTGTGGCGATTTGATTGGTAATTGACTGAACGGAATCCGATTTCTTTATCCATCAGGAATGAATTATAGCAGGAATAAGAGAAAAATAAAATCGAATATAAAACAAGTAAGGAAGGGCTAAATTCGAACGTAACCGAACATTCTAATCCGAGGGAATATGAATGAAACTCTTAAACTAACATATTCGACTTGAAATCGGCTAGAATAACGATAATCATAATACATACATATGTATGTAAGTATATGGAAGCCGGGGTAATATGGCGAACGATTCAACACATTTTCTGCATTGTCACGATTTAACACTGTCAAATTCGCTTAAATGCCTCACGTAAAATCCTAGTTTTTTGAGGTACGGGTTAGTGGATTGAGTACTTAAAAGAGCTTAAGTTCTTCTATGTGAGGACTAAGCCCAAAAATGGTGGTTATTTAAGCGAATTCGGATTCGGATCTGCTGTATGCATTGTTACAAATACTCAGTGTTATACGTGCAAGTCATTTTGTTGTGATATTGGCCGATATATACGGTATAAAGTCTTTTTTGGCATCACGATATAATATTACCAGAAAAAGATACCCTCTGAATTTCCTTAGAATATTTCAAATATTCGCCGCTATATACGGTATAAACCCAACTTGGAAAATATTTATAATAGGTTTAGGGGGCTAGGGGAAGTATTCTCCCGATTTTGAACACTTCTCACACAAGTGCAAACTTTTATAAGAAAAATACTCTGTCTGAATTGCACTTATATATCTCATAGTTTTACGATATTTACAGCAAAAACAGCTATAGGCACTGGGGTCCCCATATTTGGTATCTGTGGTCTTGAAAAGTTATGGTCTGATTTTGACTATTTTTGAACGAGAGTTGAAATATCTTACCGGCACTATATTTGCAAGGTGTTATATTAATAACTACATTGCTACCTTATTTATATACTGTAAGGTGAAATAATCATTTAAATTAAAATGTATGAGAAGTATGTGTGATTGTTGTCCGATTTTGGCTATTTTCAAAACAAACATATAAATGTTAAAATAATGTTAAAAACTAAATTTGGTAGTAATTGATCTAGTATTTCCTGTTAAGTAGAAATTTACTTAAAGGTAGATGGTGCCACGATGGTGCCTTTTTTGATATCGGCTCCTAACAAGTCTTTCCGTAACAGCTTGGGTGACGTATTTATTTGGTGAACATGTGGGGTGTGGGCGTGGTTATCATCTGATTTCACTCACTTTCACAGTGCGTGATGAAGTGCTGAAAACATGTATTCTCAGCAAGTTTGATTGAAATCGCTTTTTGGGTTTGGGAGTTTAAATTTATTAAATGGCAGGTACAGACCCACTTTTTAAAAGACCCTACCACAAATGCCCCTCTTTAGTAAGATTCCTTGTATCACATTACAATTTTGTATCTGATTTTGAAGCTTAGTTAAAGCAATTTTGTGGTTTGGATTGACGTCATTTTGTGGGTTTGATTCGTCCATCTGCAACACAAGTGATGCCAGACTCTTTATGTCTAGCTACTACTCAAACTAGCTCAATTTTTCCTCAATTTGTTTGTTGTTTCAGCTTGATTAATCTGATAAATATATCTTCTTATATATCTCGATTAGTTGTAGATATTACGAACCACCGTTAGGTTAACAGAACTAGTTTACTTTGAATAAATTTACATTTTATAATTTTTATTTTTATTCTTTTTGTGGAACATACACATTCAAATAAGTCCAATAACTGTATTTTTGGAATCTTTTTTCCTCAATGCATATCAATTACACTCTACCCTTCCTCTCTTTGCTCAACTATTTATAGTAAGACAAGAAGGCTGTAAAATTAAATGACGACATGAGCCATATGCTTTTATTACCGTAAAAAGTTCAAAGCGCTGCCACTTTTTAATAACTTGAGAAATGAGATTCGAATGAATAAAGTTGAGTCAAAAATAGCGGAGGCGTAATGCGTCTTCTTGCACTGCAGAGGCTTAGCCAATTTATGAATGCAGGGCACCTAATGTGGAATTTAGATGATTTATAGTAATACAGTTGCAATAGATGCATTCGCTTTTATTACTTTAATACGGAAAAGGCTGCTTAAAAACTCAATAAAAAATGCAGCCAAAACCAAAAATTCACAGCGAAATGAATGATGTCTCAATCGTGACATCATTACGCAGAAATCATATCATCCACTTTATTTCTACGGATATATATGTTTGTATTTGTATATATACATGGTACAAGCATTGGCATTGAACGAACACCGCTTTGTTGTACGCGATTCAATGCTGAGTCGTAATTTCGATTGCGATTACCTAATTTTTGCAACGCCCGATTGCACTCACTGAATACCTAATGCTCTATAATACACCCCACATCCATACAAATAGTACAAAACTTTACAAACATTCGAGCAATTTCCATTTCCTCTAATTACAGTTATGAACGAGTCGAATAAACGCAAGAAATTGAAATCACGCACAGCAACTGTACCTAGTGGTGGCGGTCAAGATCATGACCATGCCGAGAACTATATCAAGGATCACTTAGATGCTTGGTTGGAGACTTGTCTCAAGGATGCCTCCAATGCACAGTTATCCTCCTCATCAGAGTTCTTAGATTATAATCCAACGCCTACGGGAACTGGTGGTGGTGGCGGCGGTGGCGGTATTAGTGCAACAAATGCGCCAAAAAGCCTACAACAACAAATGCAGCAACTTCGTCAACAAAGGCAGCAGCAACAGCGTGAGCAACCGCAGCAACAACAGAATCAAGCGTATTTGTCCAATAACAGCTTGAACAACGCGAATCAACAGCCCCCATTTTCGTATGCGCAACAACAACAACATTCTCCACAAATGCAACAACAGCAATTTGGTTTACGTTCGGGTCCAATGTCATTTTCCGGCGGTTATACGGGCGGTAATAGTGGACTCTGCAGCCAAGGTTTTCAAAGGGTGAGTGATACTAGAGAGTCTCTATGTTAAGATGGCAATGTTCATAAGTTGAAGTATAGGACATTGGTCAAACAGAGTCAGCCGTAGTCTATGAAAAGAAATAAAAAAAGTCAAACTGTACTCTCATCTCTTTAAATTTGTATTTAGATGAGAGTTCTATCTAAAATGCTCTAGGCTAAAAGAACGACGGCAAAAGTGCTTTCGAGGTACTCAATGTTCTTTCACGCCGGTTGTCAAAATCTGTGAGTACCATGGTAATAAAATGGAAAATCTACTTGACATTGTAATCGTCAGGACCATGGAGAGAAAACCAGGGCCCGGGGAGGATATAGGATTGTATATATTATAAATTGTTGCAGAGCACAGGACCCCCTTAACAACTGCAGGCCCGGGAGGAAGTTTCTTTGATATACCCTGTCTCCCCCTCTCTCTGTCGTTCACTGGTAAGCGTTTATAAGGTCGGCTTGTCCACGTTCCTCCCAACAGATATATAAAATTTGAAGACATCAAGCTGATACCTCGAAAGAAACCATGAAGCAAATTTTCCTTTGTGAGATCGTTCATCAATACCAACACCTCATTTTGGTACATTCGCCTATACATGGCTAATATTTTTCTATGTATTTTCTTTAGACATAGACTCATTACTGTTATGTAACTTAACAGCAAAGCCGTTAATCGAGTCTATCGTAGAATATTTTGTTTTCATAACTCTCTTGTGTGACATCTTCCAGAATGTGCCAAATTACATGAAACAATCCCACTTCATTAACCGCTACTCCATGATGTTCCCACAAAGCGGCATGGGATCCGGTCCCGGTGGCTATTATCAACAAACCGATGCCCAAGACTTCGCTAGCCTGCCACCCATAGTAAATATGATGGGCGGATCATCGGAAATGGAAAATAACTCAACAGATGTGCTGGATGGCAGTGGCAGCAACCCGAATATTAGTAGAGGGTATGTATAATATGTTGACCCATTATGTTATATTTTATTTACACTTAGATATCATAAATTTCATACAAGATCATTAATTTTACTTGTATATTTTCTGTTAGTTTCCGTTTCAGCGATCCCTGCCTGCTGAATCCGTCCGACAATGACTCGAAAGTGAGTGGCCAAAATACACCCGATCGTCGCAATCAATTATCGAGCGATTTGGAGAATAACAAATTCTTCGCTGCTTTAATGGAACAGATTAATCTATTGCACGAAACTAATACGAAAATTTGCCGAAATCTACACGAAACAAAAGGTGAGCTGTTAAGTATTTTATGCAACAAGGAGAAATAGAGGTGTAATACTATATACTTATACCTATATATACATTGTTATTTATTATGTATTAGCAAAAACACACACGTTGAATTTAGCTTTACTTATAGTGAGTTTCTTAATTTTATGTGTTATATGTACTTGAATGTATGTATGCGTATAATTTTTAATAATTTATTATAACTTTTTTATTTGTGGGTATTACCTTGTGAGCCGCTAATTATACTTAGTTAATTGCTCAGAACTAATTTAGTAGGTTTTCTCCTTCAATTTAATGAATGCTTTCAATAATGTCATTGTAGGCTTGCCACTTTTATTTGCTCCGCACTTCTGAATAAATATATAAATATACTTATATAATATATGTATGTATATATATATATACATGTATGTATATGTATACATATTTATTGAATTCCGATAGTATAGTAATTGAATGAGTTGAGTAAAATTAATTAGAAACGAAACAGCTTTCCTTGAAATACTAAGTATGTCTGGTTGTGCTTTGGCTGAAGAGTTCTTACTCGTATAAACTTATGTACACATTTTCGATAAAGAGATTTTCAGAAAACGACGAGAAAATTTGGAACTTCGCTTAGGATTTCAGGGAGCACACTTAGTGTGACAACTGTGCTAAACAATGCAATATTTGTGAATTGAAAAAAATATATATATATTACTAATTTCACATATTGAGGGTTTATTTATATATATTTTAAAAATACACAGTAATATATTTGAAGAAAAAAATGAAATATTTTTCGAGCTACATGTGATTTCCGACGACGCCAAACAAGGTCATCGACTACTGCAGTGATTCCGACTTTATCCATATACGAAACATAAAAAAAAGTTCTCTACTAGAAGATACTGTCAGTACAATGACCTACGGTCGAAAAAAAGATCTCAAAAATAGATCTGATTTAACTAAGCGGTTACATTTTAGAAGGAAACTGAAAACTTATTTGAAATAAAAACAAAAGCTTGAATTTGAACCATCACTTTGTATGGCAGCTAGTTAGTAGTTCGATATCGGCAATATATCAGATCGATATCTCAAAAACTGAGGGACTAGTTCGTATATATACAGACAGTCAGACAGACTTCGTGGCAAACTTAATATTCCCTGTTCAGGGTATAAAAAAAGTTTATGGGTAGACGAAATTGTTGCATGTTCAGGTCAGGGTAATGATCCAACAAATATGGGCTTTACAAAAGTCGGAAAACGAAGGGGTGTTAAGGTTAGAAGCAGCTTTTAAGTTTTAATATGCATATTTAGCAGACTATTACAGACATAGTAGCCACACTAGCTGATAGCAGGATCACCTACCCTATAACGGTATGGTTCAATATTACAAAAATAATAATTGTACAGAGGTTGTTTAGCTAAAGAACAACATAGTTAAATATAGTCCTTTGTAATAAATAAGATTAGTAACAATTTAAATGAAATTATAGTTAATCTCAAATAATAGTTACCTATTAATTATTAAGATTAAGAAGATTTGTTACAATTGAACTCTTGTCTCTTATTTCGTTTTGCAATTTTCTTTTATGATCTTAGACTTACATCAAAGCTTCTTTATTTCATGCCAGCAAAGATAATTTACAAATGCAACAGTAATTACGATATATTTACTCACTTTTTATACCACCTTGTGTATACATACTCATACATATATATGTACATATATATTAGAGTGGAGCGAAAAAACATTTTTCTTTTTTGCTTAGCCTGAGGGTAAAAACCATAGATTATAAAAAAGAAAATTTTTGGACAAAAAAAAAACAATTTTTTTTTTACATCTAGAGACGGCCCACTCAGTTTTAATGTGAATTTCGAGTTAAAATTTTTTTTGGACCAGAAAAAATTATTTTTGGTTTAAACTCTTTACATTTATAAAAGAATTACCGAATGTGACGATTTTTGACTTAAAATTTATTTTAACCATTAAGGAAAGCATGTTGTCGTTAAAGACTTTTTTTTAAAACTCCAATAATGACCACAAAACATTTTTTTAGGTTGATAACTTTTAATTGGCCAGAAAGAGGACTCTCCACAGGTTCTAGAACACTTATCAAACATTTTTTAGGAAATAAAAAATTTAACTCGAAATTTTACTTTAAAACTGAGAGGCGGCCCTTTTGTCCAAAAATTTTCTTTTTTTATAATCTAAAAATGTGAACCTCAGACTAAGCAAAAAAAAAAAAATTGTTCTTGTTTTGCTCCACCCTAATATACATATATGCATATGTATGTATGGGGCATCCGCACTTTCACAGCTCATTAGTTTTACTAAGCAGTATTTACCTATTCATAAGCGTGCAACTGCACATAAATATTTGTTTTGAGCTTAATTATCAATTAAATACAAATTTACACAGCGTTTACGCGCTGCTTGAAATTGCAAAAGTATGCTATCTTTATTTACGCCCCTTCTAGCGTCAACGTGACTCTATTTGTATTTGTAGTTGTAAATAATTGTCATTTAGTATTGTAATTTAGTAGTGTCTTATGTATTTATTGTTGTAAGTGTATTTTTAATTTATTTTCTGTTCTGTATCTTAATTTTTTATTTGTTTCTATGTCTTCCTCTTTTGTTCTTTTCTTACTCTTTTCCCCTCTCTTTCGACACGCTCTTGAAAATAAAAAAATCAAATATCAAAAAAATTCGAAAAATCCAAAAAACAAACTCTTTAGTTGATATTGAAGCTTTAAAGCACGCACCCAATTGGGGTTTGAGACACCGTAGAGATAGCTTGAGTGGATTGAGTACGCACAGTCAGCCCATGGTATTTGGCGGTGGATTTGGTGGTATGCAAAGTCCAGCGCCAACTTATCATTCAGGTATGTTGTCCAATGTAATGTTAATTATTATTTGTATTGAAAATTATATTTCAAAAAATAATTTTTGTTTTGGCTTTTCTATTTGAGTACGAGTATTTTGAAATTTCGTTTCGTTTTTCTTGTAAAACATGGTTTGGTTTTCGTATTACAACGCCAGCAACACACCAGTATTTTGATATAACAATTTGGTGTGTATTTTTTTCAAATTCCCACAATGCTGCATATTTCTAGGCGCATACACTCCAGGTATGATGACCGACGTTGTTCGTGAGGTGAAAGAGGCCGCACGTGTGCGCGAAGATGCGCTATTAAATCGGTAAGTGAAAAAGGATATTTATTGTACTACTAAAAGTTCAATAACGTTCTAATGAAACGCCGATCAAAACAGTATTTATTATTCGGGATGATATATTAGGTCTCTAGATAAATAAAAAGAAATAGGACTATGGACGTGACTTCATTTTTAAACGGCATTCCACATCTCATAAGTTCTTTGACCGATCACTATTAAATTGCCTGTATAATAATCATTTAATTTTAGAACTAATTTGCTTTTTGACATTTATAAATTAGCCCAAATAGGATCGCAACCATGCCTCCTTCCCATTTTGAATATGAATTAACGAATAACAATAAATATACATAAAAAATATTATTACGTATTCCATCTCTCGTAGTTTCTTCCAGGATTGAAATCAGTTATATCTTCTATGCTATTTGAATTTCGGTTAACTCTGTTCAATTAAATATATTTCATTGATTTGATATCATTCAGAAAATCGGTTCACTGTTTCTCTAGTCCCTATGTTCTGAATATGAAAAGTATCGGCATTCTAGTTGGTGTCGGCCATCGTCAGAGACACATCAATAAATATAACTAAGAATATTATGCTTAGTTTAAAGGTCTTTGGTGCCGAAAAGGGATGATATTTCGGTCTCTTCGCCAGACATTTAAAAGATAAGTTAGATTATAAGTAAGATATCTTAATGGAGCTAAGCATATATGACACTGAGCTGGCACCAAAAGAGGAAATATGATAATAGAGTTATAATTTTTTTTATTTTCAGACATAGATTAGCTTTTATCGAGAGATTCTAGTTTAAATCTTAATAACTGGGTTTAGATCGAAGATAGCGAAAATTTTAAATCAAAATACACATGAAAAGAGTAGATTATATAAATTTGCATTTAAGAGACTAAATTTTTCGAACATAACCTCAAAATTAATTATATTTTAATAAGTTATTGAAAATCTTATTTAAGTTTTGAATAATTTTTTTTTATTACAAAAAAGCCAAACAGATTTCAAAATAAAGTAACACCCGTTATTATATTTCAGGGTAAAAGCGATGGTCGAAGAGCGCCAATGGTCGTTTAATGAGAGCAACTTGCGCATGATGCGCGACATTGAAGAGCTAAAGGTTGGTTAAAAATACATACCATCGCTTACTCATGTTCACTTACTCTCAACTGTCATATGCCTCTTCCGTCCACTCTCCATTTAGTCTCAAGTCCATCATCTGCGCGCCGACCGAAAAGAGTCCAACAAGCGCATTACACACCTCGAGGCGGAGAACAAGTATATGCGTCAAATGCTAACCAATCTCTTTAATCAACGCAACGCAACGCAACCTGACATCATCTACGAGAATGAAACGTTGCGTACTCAACGCAAATCCTTTCCAACAGCGCCGGCACGACGCTCACAATCGATGAATCTGCATTACGGCACCATACACCATCAACCGCCGACCGTTGCGCTCACCGTGGATGAGCAGGACGAGCGCTTGCATATTGTCGAGGCGGCCACGCAACGTGCCACCGCCGCGGACATGGTGACCGTAAGTGATAGACGCACTACAGAGTTGCGCAGCTCGTTCTCTAGCTCGGATGGTGGCGGTAGCGTGGGAACAGGTAGTTGTGGTGGTGGTGGTGTTGGCACCGGTGCTGCTGTGCGTAATAGTGGCAGCAGTGGTGCCAGTGGCGTAGGCATTTGTACAGTAACACCTTTGCCTAACGGTAACGCCGCAATGGTCAGCGGTCAACAGCTGATGTCGCCGCCCAATTTTGCGCTGATATCAACAACGGTCGAGGAAGATGGGGTGAAACTACGCAAAAAGAAGGGCAGAAAAGTGCCCCAGATCGATGGCTCGAAGCGTAACGGTGAATGTCACGAGGAAGTGAGTGCCACTGCAGGCATTGCTGCACACGCTGATGAGGATGCCGGCAATGAAGCGGACGATGATAGCAAACTGTCGACACAGGAGCTGCAGCAGGAGTTGCAGGATGCGGTGGCAGCGCGTAAGGAGGCCGATAATCGTGTCATTGCGTGGGTTTAATTGCTTGCATACACTTTAGTGAAATGTTGTGCGGCACAAATATGATTTTTTCTTCTTCTTTTTTAATTTACGCTTTAATGTTAAATAGTATTTTATGTTTTGATTATTACTTTACATTATTATATATAACTAGTTGTTGTTCGCTTGTTGCATTCAACATGCTGTATGGTAATGAAGCCAGTGTTTACAATATTTTCTTTTTAAGCCTTTGGTTGACAAGAAAAAATTAAATAGGTAAACTTAAGCAAAAAACAAAAAAACAAAAAACAATACCAACAAATTAAAAATAAAAATAATTGAGATATCCATTACTACACATTTATTGTGTTATTCTAATTATTATAATTTGTAACATCAAATACTCGTACATAACGAGAGTTGAGCCAAATCGGTTGTATTAAATTTTTTTCTTGTCAACCAATATACGTTTTGACAATAATTATCAATATTTGTAAAAAAAATCTCTTAGCGAATATTTGTGAATCGCTAGTTTTTTTATACCTAATTACTCGTATGTATGTAAAGACGGCACTTATATTGAGTTTTTTTCGTTATTTACGCAGTGATTATAGTTATTCTTATTTTTCCTCATTGGGCCAAACAAAATTGATATTTAAAGCAAATATTGATTGTGTTGAATTGTTAAAATATTTTTTGCTGTTCGAATCGGCTTGCCCATCCCAATTTGCCCACTTACCTAGTTATTGGTTACAAGCAGATAATTATTGGTTTTGAGAGCGGACTGATAACAATGAGTAGAGTACGCCACAGTCACTATTTGGGTTATGGACGTAACCAAATCTATGATTAAAGCGACAGTATATTTGTGGGTTTATTATAAATATTTGAAATTTACATTATATGAAAACAAGCTAAAAATTATTTTAGTAACATTGTTGAAAAATCTCCTGTATATATCTCTTTATCAATTTTGTTTTGTAAAATCTGAAATTCTTTTTGACTTTATTAAGATGCACACCTAGTGTGACAGCCTAAAATAGGTGATTTTTGGGTATTAAAAAAAAATTGTTTTAACATTTTTAAGATGTGTTCATATTTCTTTAAGAAATGTGTTCATATTTCTTTCATAAAATTAAAAAAAAAATTGATACATGCGATCTCCGACGGCGCTAAAGAACATGTCCTCCACTGCAGCAGCGATTCTGAACTGCTCCGTGGATGAAATCTAAAATCAAAAATTCGCTATTAGAAGATATTCTCTACGGCCGAAAACAACCAATTACAAAATGGCGGCGTTTATGAGAAATGTTAAATTTTACCCAAAATCGTGGACGCTTTTTTCCTGCCAAAATTCGATTTTCATATAAAAAAGATAGTTTCGAGAAAAACTCGTTTAAAGCTAAGCTAACAGAGTTGTTCAAACTGAGCGGCTACATTTACGAAGCCTGCAACTCAAAAAATGTTAGAAATGTTATTTTCAAATTTTAGTAGGGTATTTTTAAAGGTAGAGACTATTGAAATATGCACAAAAAACATTTAAACATTTTACAAAATTTTACGTAGTTTGTTTGTCATACTTCAACCGAACACATTTTAAAAATAATATGTTCGCACGGTATCTTAATTATAATTTTCAGTTTGTGATTTTTAGTAAAAGTAAAACGATCATTTTAAACCTCAAAATAATATCAAATGTTTAAAAATGAATCTTTATTAGAAAATAATTATATTATTTATTAATTTTTTGAAATTGTTTTTCAACGTCATTTGCAAAATTTTTTTTCAGCTTTACTTTGTATTATTACGTTACAAAGAGGTTAAATTTAAAAAAAATTAGAAAAATGTAATAGGCCACAATTCCAAAATTATTTATTATTTTAATTACTAATTTGTATAAGTATAAAAAAATATATATTTACAGACATATGTTTATTAGCAAAATTATTAAGTTTGCATGTAAAAAATATTGTGCCTTATTTAGTTTATTATTTCCACATTTATATATTTTTCATTTATTTTTATTAATTAATTGAATTCTATTAAGAGAGTAGCTGCATGCGTTATATGAACAAATAAGTTTTAAGCTACAATTTATTATAAGTGAGATGGCAAATAAACTAACACTAAAAAACTAAAACACAAACACTTGGAATGAAATGGTTAGCGACACTAACAAAAACACAAAGCATTCCATCGCATGGGTGCAAGGCACACACACCTAAAAACGCCCATACTCATTGCACTTGCACATACATATATTTATATACATTTTGTCAGCTTATTATTCACTCGCATTCAAATAGTATATATAAATACATATATGGTATATATATATAATACCAAGTAGTAATAACATTTATAAAATACTTTAACCGATTTCGTTTGTACGTTTCTAACTTCACTTGTATTTTTTCCATATGCTCTTACTGACTCTCTCATTTTAGGCTTGAGAATATGGTAAAAACACTACGTTTAAATTTCAACAAAGCCAACAATGCGACCAACAACATTGCATCCCATTATCCCAACGCAAGTGTTGCATATAATCTAACTAACGGTACAGGTAGTACTGGTAATGGTATTGTTGCAAATCCTATCGTTGGTGGCTACACTTATAACATTAACCCCTGCACCACCAACAATTCAACAACCGCATTACCATCAGCACACTCATCAACAATGTCACCGACATCGGCAGCGGTGATCATGCCACATCAAAAGCAACATAAAGCACATACAATCGCCTCGGCGAGCAGCAGCATCGGTTGTGTTGGACAATCGCCAACCAAATTGAGCGTTGCTGGACCCATAACGGACTTATAGTTTTAGCTGACGGCCACCAAGCGACGTGTGCGTGTCACGCATTTCTGACTACAGCAGCGGCGGCATGCCACATACCAATGCGCACGCCTGCACACACACCATTGCCAGTGTGCGCGAGCGGGGAGCAGGCGTCGGCGGTGAATGCCGACAATGAACGAAACTCGAAAATTATTTTACGAAACACACTCGAATACATACGAAGTTTTGACGACTTCACTCACGAACGTCCATAACGTCATAGTTTTTTGAAATTTTTTTGAAAAATAAGTATACTTATAATTGTTATTAACACTCGTTAACGCATTCGCATTTGCATTTTTTGTGTACGTGTTAGTGTGTAATTCGTCCATATGTATACGTATGTATGTGTAGTTTGTGCTTTATTTTTTATTTTCTTTTTGCATTTGGAAAATCGTGCATAATAATTATTACATTACTGCAGATTGTATTTACCCAAGTAGTTTGTTACTAAAATTAATATTTTATTGTAGATTCTAAGGTCAAGTAAAGTGTATATGCATTTTTAAAAATCCGTCATGATTTTTATTTACAAACATACAAGCAAAGATTTGAAATTCGCTGGAAATTATGTGCTTTTGCTGATCATTTTGTGTAACTGTTAAAAGTGTATGTTTGTATGTGGTAAAAAAAATGTATATATATCCTTATAAATATACAAATAATGCATAAATTTATATTATAAATTTTCCTCAAAAATGATTTAACATTTATGGAAAAAGATGAAAAAAATTTAATTAAGAAAATCTGAAACTAAATTACGTAACAAAGTACATGATGCAAAAACAATTTGAAAAAGATTATATATCAATATTTTTAACATATAATATGATATGATATCATTATATACTCTTTACATGCATATATATTTGTATAAGCTAGAGCGTAGAATAGAAACTACAATATTCAAAATAAGATATTTTAAGTGCCATTACAATATAAACAATATAATAAATATTTTATTTTTGAGTTAAAAAAAAACATTTCTATATTGTGTTTGAGAGTACCAAGAAGCATCAAAACTGTTTAGTTGGTTACAAAGGTTTCTGAATCCTACAGGCTTTTTCACTCAAGTGACAGCAACTTAAGTGTTTTACTACCCGCACACAGAGGGCGCTATTGTCATTAAGCGCTGTGCCGAATGTAAAAATAAAAATTGCAAATGTAAGCCATTAATCTGCTTACAAACTCTGCCAGTCTTATAAAATCACTTCTGAGTTATAAATATTTTACTCAAATCAATTTTTTTAATTAATTAAAATCTGTATTATATAAATAAATAGCTGCTATAATTGGACATGCTGTATTCGCATTTAGCAAAGACACGCACCTCTTGCGCCTTTTGCTAATGCAACACACGGTGAATTTGTCGCGGTCACGACACATATGGGGCAAATAAAAATTTCTTGCACTGCCTGCTGTACGCTGCTGGTTGCCTGGTAGCAGGCGACGCTGAATGAGAGAAATTTGTGATTTTGATTTTTGCGATTTCGTGCGTTGTGGAGACTGTGTGTGTGTGTGTGACGCATGTGATCAGTGTGATAAATTTGTTTAATTTTCTTATTATATCAATTATGAATGAGATTTTATTTATTATTTTTAATATTTCCTTTGCAATTTTTTTAAAGGGCGTTTAGGGAGTCAATAATTAATTTTTTTTGTAAACGTTTTGTGTGAATCTTGTTAAATAAATTTGTATAATTTCTTTTACTTCCTTTTCAACTTTTCTTATAAATTGCCTTGGGTATTTATTTTCCATTTTAAGGTTTAAGTTGTAAGTTAAATAAAAAATTTATGATTTGTTTTTGTAAAACTGCATATTTTTAATGGATTTGTTACATACTTACACAGAGAATTTTGAATAATTTAAAAATGAAAACTTGGTTGTTATTTTTATATTTAAGAAATTAGTCTTTCATGCAACATACTTTAGTTATAAATAACAAAACAAATATTATTACATTAATATCCTTATTTTCTTTTAATTTAATATTTTTTAAATTAATTGAATTTACATAGAGAGTTATTATTTTTACAAAATATTTAAAATATTTAATTTGAATAAATAAATAATATAAAACTTAACGAAACATCTTTTGAACTAAATTTGATCTTTAGTCGGTTGGAGCTTGAGCCAGAAATAGTCTTGAACGTACATCTTTCAATTGAGACAAAAATTTTAAAAATGCGTATTTCAGAATTATACCCATTATATAAATTTATGGATGTTGATTCCAGTGTATTTAACATATTACCCTCTAAAATAACAATCATGCCTTCATTAAAATGCCACATTTTTCATCTTTCAAAAATATTCGATTGTCTTAGACCCTATATTTTCATTCACCGGTAACTATTTTTCTAGTAAGTAACCACTGTGTGCACAGACATCGGTTCACCAGAGAAATCTTGTATTCACGATTATAACGAAAAATATATGTGTGATATTAGTGTTGTGCGGATGAAATTAACTATAAGATATAGTTTTTTTTACCCTCATTCCTACTGCAGCGACCACTGACGTGACGGATCAACCATTGAAAATCATATCGGTAATCTCTTCTCGTCCAAAATGCCCGTCTAAATAGCCAAATCAGTTTTATTGTAATATACATTTGGGTTTAACATCTTTTGCAAATATTTTCCTATCTGATATTTTAGTCGATGACGTTGAATGATTATGGAGAGCTCCGCATGTTTGGCTGAAATTCAATTAATGAAGAGTCTAAATTAGATTTTATTATTTTTTAATTTTGATTTTTAATTTTTGATAAAAATAAATTATTGTACAACAATGTTTTAAATCACATAATGGCACTACAATACTGAACACAATATATTTCTAAATTAACCCTGTACCAACTATTTTCAATATGGGTGGTTCCACTAACCCTAACCATAGACATTGGCGTCCTCGTATTCAGTATGTGGGGGATTAAAAAGGTATAGTCTGATTTCGATTATTGGATTTTAAAGTAGAGGCAGTATTTTTGCCAAGTTTTTTTTTCGATATCTTCATTGATTTTTGATTTATTTAATGTAAAGGGAATTAATTCAAGATGGTATATGGGAAATAGGCGTGGTTATAGTCAGATTTCGTCTATTTTTAAATTGTAAAATAAGATCGTTAAGGAATAGGTATGTACCAAGCTTGGTTTAGTTGGTTAGAGTAGTTGTTATGATTTATTTATTCACCTAAAAGTGAACGGCGCCACACACGGACAGAGAAAAAGACATCAACAATATTTACTTCATCTTATTCTCATGATTTTACGTCGTTACAAATAACGCCTCGGTAAATAAAACTATTATATTCTGTGCAATAATTTACAATAGTACGAGTATACTATAAAAATATATCCCAGCATTTTCTTCTACTGAGAATTCCCACATAGGCATTAATGAAAATCGCTATTGCAATCATACAGAGAGAAAGAAACGAGGAGACAAACACGTACCCTTTCTTGTTCACCGTACTTTTCCATTTTCATTACAGCAATTTTCTGCATTTCTGACATATATATAACCATGCACATAGTATATTTATATCGCGTGTGCATCGCTGTCTTTTGTCCGTTTCCATTGTGCGCTTGCCGCAGCTCCAATGGCCGAACATGAATGGGTTTTGGCGCGAAAATACCACCGTGCCATAAAAATCCAGTCACACATATTAAATTTATGTACAACAAGTTAAATAAGATTAAAACTTGTATAACTTGTACAACATTGCATGCAACAATGGAACAGCTTTCACAGTGGTGGCAATACGCTTGACAGTGCAACATGGTCCATTGCCACGCCCACATAATTTTATTTACAGGCGCCACTTTTCGTGTGAAAAAGAGCAATGCACCGAGCTTCGAGTATTTATGTGAACAAAGTGAGTGCTGTTGTTGGACACCTAGAATTGCCTGCGCAGGTGTGTGTGTGAGACGCGGCTGTTGCTAAGTTTTAGAGTACATTATTTGCAGGGCTCGGAATTGGTAACAATTTCATGTTCACTGTCAACCTTTCAGAACTCACGCTGATTGCACTTCATATTCAATAATATGAATTTGCAGCGAAACAATGCTTGAATGCGCCTAATATCTGTATATATATATGTATATTTGAAACTATAAATACCACTATAAAGCAATTTCATTTAATATTGATTTTTACCATAAACCCTGCAAATTAATCAAGTTTGCCACGATGTTTGTAACACTTCTACCTTGTAAAATATATATATGTCATGTCCTTCTGTCTGTCTATCTGTCATTCTCTATATACGTGAAATAGTTCCACGGTTTTTGAGTTATCGATCTGAAATTTTGCATACGTCGTTTTTCCATCAAGAAGCTGTCATTTGTCAATTGTTGGAACCGCCGATATTGGACAACTATAGCATATAGCTGCTATACAAACTGACTGATCAAACTCAAGTCCTTGTATGGAAAGCTTTTAAATTTGACAAGGGTTTCCTAAAGAAAGTTAACATATTAATCAGATCGGACACTATAGCTTAAAGCTGCCATTTAAACTAAACGATCAAAATCAATATAAATATCTTTATATACCCTTCTATGCTATAAAAATACACCTGTCAGGGGTACTATATTTTCGCTGCAGCTGAAGTTAACGTTTTTTTCTTGTTTTCTATGGGATTTACAAGCTGCGTGAGCCTACTATAAGAAACTGATCAAATCGAATCGCATCAATGAGATAATAACGTCACCATCTACGAGGGGTGTTCAGAAAAGAAAAGGAATTTTAAAAATTGAAATTTCGCGTATTTGGGTAGTTCAATTTTCAAAATTTTTTGAAACATTATATATAATTTGGCCTTCGGTTACTGAACATATCGGTAAATTTTTGAGATATAACAATTAAACAAAGGGAACTGCCTTTTCCGGCGACAAATAGTCCGATGTTTATCTGGTTCAGTAGCTCCTCTAGTACCCATATAAATAATATAATAATTTCTCTAATTCTGTTCGCCTATGATATCATAAATATCGGTCTATGTGTAACAGTGCCCAATTCATTAAAATCGCGAGAGAAATTATATATTTTCTTCTTGTTTCGATGCCAACTGATTTAGCAATTGAATGTATCCGTTCGTTATCGCTCCTCGGTTTGATTCTTAGAGTATATGGACTATACTACGCTGCTAGAGAAATCATAATGTGGACGAAAAGTTTGAACCTTGGAGAGGTTTAGTATTAAAAACGTTAAAAAAAAATAGCTATACTTGTAGGGAAGCGTTTCGGCAACGATACTCTAACAGTTGCGATGTATGTATGGCATGGTCGTGAGTCAATTCAGGTGCAAAGAAATTTATGAAAATATTTTAATGAAATTTATTAAATATATATTATTATATGATAACTGTAAATTATTAACAGAGAGGTGACAGAGAAAATTACTTGCTTCCGTTTAAGACATTATAATCCATCAATTGGGCCTGAAGACGGTATTTGTGGGTTAACAACTCATGGACAGTGAACAAATGTTGCACTACAATAATGCAACGACATACAATGTCGTCATTAACCGCGATTTTTTTAACAAAACTCGCCAAATATGACTCGGTTTGCTTGCGGTTTTTCTTGATCGATGTGCCGAATTTTTAGTATAAGAAATATTTCGAAGATTGCATCAAGCGTTTAAGTGCTTTGCAAACGACAGTAAACTTGAATTTCAAATTGTAACTTTTTAAACTTTTTGTGCCACATAGGATTACAGTTTAATAGAGCGACTGGGATTATTTGGCAAAAAGATAATATTAATCCATTTCCCCTTCTACAATACGAATATCGAAAGTATTTAGATAACAATTCAGTGCAGCAGCGTCAAATGTACTTTAAAATGCTGACATAGCAATATTTTAAGAATCTAAACGATATGCTCTTCCCCTCTAATATATTTGCAGCTTTCACAAATTTCTTGCATACTTTGAAGAGCTTTCACCGTAGCACTTTATTATAATGATATTTCAACTTCCAACAGTGGTTAGTAAACTTAGGGAAGAATAAATGTTGCAACACAAGCAACTGACCTCCACCGATCCACTACAAAGCAACGAGATTAAATAGTGAGAGAGAAATGCAGAAAATCATCTGAAATGTGGCAGCTGAAATGACTATTTGAACTTCGCTGTATTCACGCTTAAAACATTTGGAACGCAAGATTAATCCGAAGCAATAAAACGCAACAAAATAATGAATGGAATTGCGCGCGAAATAATGAAGGTAAGCAAATGAGTGTGGGTGACGGGGAGAAACAATGGCGCGCCAACAAGTCGCCGAACTCTGCATCAACTACACGCTTAACGATAGTTTTTACGTAGCTTTCGTTCGAGCATTGTTAGCATAATGCAAAGCTGAAGGGCAACAACATGAAATTATGTTGGCAACAACAAATTGAGTAGAAGACAGATGTGCTAAGAACCTTTCGCTGCAATTTTGTCATTGAAAGTGAAGCTTGTGTACATTTGACAATGATTTTTGAAATGTTCATAATAAGGAACTTATTACGACTAATTGCTTCCCTCTTGGTTAAAAATAAATATTTTCTTGATGACTAGGACTTGAATTGATGTCAATGTTTTTAAGTGGAAAGGTTGATGCTTTCGTCTGGTGTTAGAAAATTATAAAATCTTTGTTTGGCATGAGCCACGTTTTGGAGCAAATAATTTCATTTATATTGCATGAAAAATAAGAAATGGATCACAAAAGTGATCCTTAATTAGCTTGAATCGAATAAAAGAATATAAGTAAATATGGGTGAAACTTTTTGTAACTGGTCGTTATACAACTTAACTGTAGCAATCTGTAAGGTTCCACTCACCTTCAAATACCCGAAAGATTCAAAAGAAGTTTTCTCATATCAGAACTTTCGTCTAAGGCTTGACATTGCCTGACAAAGGAAGATAACTCAATGTATCGGATACATAGGAAAAAGGCAAAAAATATTTTTTTAGATTTTTTTTATTAAATTTTATAAAATATGTTAGTCCTAAGATAATAGCAAATTAAGCTTGCGGTTTAACGCTGTGCTTCACCAATCGTAAATTCTTCTTAATGAAGCAGACGCCACCACGATAGGCCCACTCACAAGCGTTCGAACCTTGTTCATTATTGTCGACACACGCCGCGATTTTGTCGTGGACAACGTCGTCATGATCAGCATCGCCGGGTGATGCCACTTCGGCACCCTGTAACTGCTGGTGAATGTGCTCAACGTTGAAACCGGTTAAAGCATCGAAAAAGCCAAATTTTTCAAAAACACATTTCAAATAGCACTGTGTGACGGAGTCGTTGGGGAATTGCCATTTGCCAAATTGTTGTATGTGCTCTTCGGGCACTTTCAGTTCGTTGACGCATTCACGGCGGAATTGCAGCAAGTTCTCCTCGTTTTTCACCACATACTCGGCTGAGGTCTGTAGAAGCGATATTTTGTTTTCAATTATTCCTTGCGGCAAAAATGTAAAAATTTAAAGAATACTTACCGAAGCAACAAATAAACAGAATACAATGACGCCTTTCATTTTGTATGAATTTAGTTATTTGGTAAAGGTAAAAAATAATTTGTTTCTGTGTGCCACTCTTTACTGACACGTACTGTGAAAGACTGAATAATTTCTTCATCGCTCGACGTTCTTTTATAATCGATTGCAGCACAGTTATTGCTTGGCTTAGTAGAATAAAAAGAACAAATG